TGGCCCTTCTTCCTTACTTATAAAAGGGGCTCCAGGTGGGGGGGCCAAGATGGGGAATGAGCCCGGCTCTTGGTGCCTCATTGGGCACTACCTCAGCGCTCCCTGCCCAGATAGGGCCTGCGGGGAAGGAGCTGAGCTGAGAGCCCGCTGAGGAAGAGCCTTCTTGTTCTCTAGGAAGTGGTGCCTGAGAGGTGGTGAGTACCTGCTCCAGAGGCCTCTCTGAATAGTCAGGGGTTTGTCCTTGCAGGACCGGGTACAGGCGGACGACCTGGTGAAGATGCTCTTTAGCCCAGAAGAGATGGACCTCCCCCAGGAAGCCCAGGAGGGCCCCCCCGAACCTGCAGAGGGGTCCCCCTCTGGCAATGAGTCAGGGCACAAGGATGAGCTCTGACAGTGTCCAGCTCACACGTGGACAGGCGATTACACCCACTGTGTGGAACTCTGTCCTCCAGCCTGGCCAGCCCCTGGGGGCCGAGGAGCAGTGGGGAGCTTAGTCTACTGCCCAGCCGAAGGGCCCCTGCTCACGGCCGCCTGCACAGTGCTACTGCTCTTGGAGTGGACATGGCAGGACGGCCCTCTCCCGGCCGGACCTAGCTCAGGGCTCAGGACACAGGCCCAGAGCCACCCCTGGGGGCCAGCACAGGCAGCCGCGTGACAGCAGTACAGTATTTAAGTGTCCGTGTAGACAGCCAAAGAATAAATGATTTGTGTTTTTTTACTCGGTGGTTTGTTCGGAGAGTGGAAATAGGCCATCTGCTCCAGAGGTCTCACTGGATAAAGACTGCTCGGGCAGTGCAGTGCGAGGAGGCCTGGCTCAGTACCTGGCTCAGCCACTTCCTGGGCAGCTGCAGGCCAGACACTTAACCTCAAGGACCTCGGGGTCGTCATCTGTATAATGGGGATCATGATCCTCGCTCTGCCCACCTTCTGGGCGGCTGTGTGGCCCAGATGCAGCATCGGATGTGACAGCGCTGTGTAAACTGGAATGCTCTGGGTGAACGGCAGGGATTATTGCTAAGCACTCTCTGGCAGCTGGCAGCCGTCAGCAGTGCTCTGGCATGCTGCCCTCGTGTCAGCCACATGCGTCCTGCCCTGCCGTCTGGCCTCAGAGTCCCCGGACCTCGGGGCCTCTGTGTGCAGGACAACACACGCCTCCCGGAGACAGAGAGAGAGCAGAACTGGAGATTCAGCTCCTCTGGCCACAAGCCCAGCTCCCTCCCTGGCTTGAGGTGCTGTCGGCTAGTGAGTTTGGGAAGCTGCACTCTGCTCATTTCTTCAGTCAACTGGTATTTCGTTACTGCGCACTGGCTCGGTGCCTGGCACTGGGCATGTGGTAGCACACAAAACAAGCCCCCGCCCTCACTAAGCTGCTGTTTCCGTGGGGGAGACAGGTCACAAACACGTGAATGTGTGGCTGTGGGTGTGTGATCCTGTGAGGTAGAAAAGACAGCACATCAGGGAGGAACGCTAGGACGCTGATGTGGCGGCACAGAGTGGCCACGGAGAGCAGCCGTGAGGTCAGTCTCAGGGGCCTCGTCAGCCACTGTGAGCACCCGGGCTTTGACTCAGTGAGACAGGAGCCCTGGGAGGGTTTTGGGCAGAGGAGTGACGGCCTCCCACTTAGATTTCAAAGGCCTCAGTGGAGACAGTCGGTGGAGGATGGGCTATGGGGGCAGAAATGGAGACAGCAGAGCAGAGGGGAGGCTGCTGAGTAACCCCGGAGAGATGAGGGTGGTGCAGGTCAGGGTGCTGACAGCGAAAAAGGTCAGGTTCTGGATCTGTTTTTGAAATAGAGCCAACAGGAGTTGCTGATGGATTCAATGGTATAAGAAAAAGGAACATCAAGGACTCCAGCCTAAGCACTTGGAAAAATGGAGCCGCCCTTTCCTATGATGGGGAAGACTGCGGGAGAGAGGGTGAGGTAGAAACCAGGAGCTTGGTTTTGCACGTGTTATGCTTAGTTTGAGGAGCCCTTTAGGTATCCAAGTGGAAATATCAAATAGACAGTCAAGTATATGAGTCTGGAGTTCCGGGAGGGGGGAGGTAGGAGCCGTAACTCTGGGAGTCATCATTGGCATGTGGATGGTGTTCAAAGCCAGGAGACTGAGGGCGGTACAGACAGAGGAAGAGTCAGAAGACTGAGTCAGGCTGGAGGACAGCGGGACCCCACAGAGACTAAGACCAGTCGTGAGCAGGGGAAGGTGAGAGGGATGGTGTCCTGGAAGTCGGTGAGAGCCTTTCCTGGAGGCGGGAGTGAGCGGCAGTGTCAAATGCTGCTGAGAGGTTGAGAGGAGAAGAACGGAGAACCCAGGTTTGGGTTTGGCAACGTTGGGATCAGGACGAACTTTAGCAAGCGATGTTTCGGTGAGATCATTTGGACCAAAGATGGGCTGGAGTGAGTTCTAGTGAGGAGGGGAGAATAAGTGGTGAAGGCAGGTGTAGACACCTCTTCTTGGAGTTAGGCTCTACGTGGGGGAGATGTGAGTGAGGGGATGCCTGTCCTTAAGCTGGGAGACAGGACCACGTGTGAGTGTTCACGGGAACGATCCCGGAGAACTGTCCCCACTCCTTCCGTCATTGATGATCCCGCATCCTGTTTGGAGAGAGGACGGTGGTAATGGAAAGAGCATGACCTTCATCCATATGCTGAGCTTGGCCAGACTCTTTTCCACCTTGAGCTGGGGGACCTCCGAGAGTGTTTCCTCACCAGCAACATGGATCACAGTCCTTACCTCCCCGGATGGTGGAGCATGTTAACGAGGGAATGCTCATACGCGCCTGGCACGATGCTTAGCACATAGGAGACACTCGATATTACAGAAACTGATCAGCCTGATTCTGGTCTTCCGGAAGTTTCCACATCAAGGCAGTTGACCTTACACTTTCAACATATGCTAACCACATAGAGACAGCAGACTGTCTCAGCCGAACTCATGAAAGGCCAGATGTTATCAACAGCAACAGGACCCGGATAAGTGCCTATAATTAGGGTGGGTGAGTCGTCCGGAAGCAGGAGGTGGTCGAGGGGTCCAGGCCAAGATGCGGCTGTGACTGCTTGGTTCGTGCTGGTAAAGCACATGCAAGGACATGTCAGCCGTGGGGGAAGTTTGCTTGAGATGAAGGGAGAGCGCCCCTGGAGCGTTGGCCGGGGAGGCAACTCAGCAAGCACCAGAAGATGTGGCCATGGAAGCCCTGGTCTCCTGCACCCCAGGCAGCTGGCAGAGCTCTCAGCAGGGCAGCAAGAGATCCTGTGCACAGGTGGTTTTGGGGGAGGACAGGGTGCCACCAGACAGCCACATGTGCTGAGAGGTGCCCCGCCCTGGGTTAGACGTGGGACACAAAAACAAGGCTTGTGGCAGGGCCTCGAGCTCCAGTCCTCCAGTCCTCGGGAAGGGGGTGACGAACGTGTCAAGTGCTGTGAGTGGAAATCCAAGGAGAGCATTACGGGATCCCAGATGTGGGCGCTTGTCCTGCCTGAGCGGCCAGGGCGGTTGGGGAGCCACATTGCCAGCTGTGCTGCTTTCTGGTTGCGTGGCCCAAGGCAGGTCCTCTCTGTCCCAGCCTGTGGTTCCGCAGGATGTCAGACTCAGGTGGGACAGGGAAACCAGCACCACCATCTCAGCCCTCAGCGTTTCAGTGGTGGCTGCAGAGAATGTGCTGGACGGCAACCAGCTGAATCAGACCCTCCTAACTGGCAGTGGGAGAGGACCAGGGAAAGCGCTCCAGAATTTCCTTGGGAGGGAGGTGAAAGCATTTCATCTTCATACCAGTCGGTCAGTCAATGATCAACACTCCTGAGCGCCCGCTCCCCACCAGGCACTGCCAGGCAGGAAGGGCAGTTGGTCTTTAGCCACAGGTAGTCCACCCACACCCAGGATGAGAGGGCACTAGGGGAGACTCGCCAGGAGGGAGTCTTTCTAGAACAGAGCTTTCATTAGCCACATTTCTTCAGGCATATTGTTTTCCAACAGCACTTCTCACCTGTTATTTGATCCTTGTAAACTGCCTCATCAACCAGACAGAACAAGTGGTATTATCCCTATGTTTAGTGGAGGAACCAGGCCCAGAGAAGCTAAGGGACTTGCCAAATGTCACACAGCTTTTCAGAGGCAGAGGTAAAGCTAGAGCCCTAAGCTTCTTGTAATGCATGTAACAGCACTTTTTACACTGTGAAGTGTGGCGCCCCAGGGCAGTTTCTAGTTAGCTCCTAATGGAGGCTGGGGTGGGACACTGAGCCTTTCTGCGCCCCCACTTGCCTGGGAGTCCCTGGGCTGCAGGGAGCCCCCCACCCCGGGATGGGAGGAGCCCCAGGTGGAGAAGCTCTGCCAGGTTAGGGAACTCCACTCCAGGAGCAAGATCTGAGTCCCAACAGTTCTGGAACATTGGTAAGGGAAGGCCCTCCAGGGACGAGAGGACTGTTTGGTCCAACAGACTCAAAGCCTCAAGTAACAGAAGGTTATAAACAAGAGCTTCAGAGGGAGATGTGAGCATTGTTCCGGATCACAAAGGGGCTCTGGGTGCCAGGGTGAGGGAGGGCTCTGGGGATGCCCAAGATGGAGGAGCCTGCAGGCTTCCTGATGTCTAAGGGCTCAGAGCCCTAAGGCCGCAGAGACTTTGGTCCTGGAGGCAGCTGCGTGACACCAACCAGCTCCCTGCCCCTCTTTGGCTCTCCACTTCCTCATTTGTCAATGGAGGGGGTGTAGTCTGTGGTCTCAAGGGCCTGTGTGGCTCTGACACTCTTTCTGTGTGGCTGTGAAGATCCCGAGGCTCAGAGCTCAGAGACTTGCCTCAGACCTGCTCCTCAGACCAGAACAACCCCTGGGTCTTCCTTACAGAGAGCCACTGCAGAAGGCAGGAGAAGGAGCCCCCACCCAGCCTGGAAAGAGAGCAGGCCTGGCCTTTGGGGAATAACCTGTGCTGAGTGGCTGCCATGTGCTCCATCAACCATCACGACTCCATGAAGCAGACGTCCCCTTTAGAGGTGAGGACGTGGCCTCCACAGCCAGCTCAGGTGTCAGTCACCTCCAAGGAGCACGTTATGGCTGCCCCACCTCTCCCAGTCCTCCCAAGAAAGTCAGAGGTGTGGGTGATCATGGTGCTAACGCCACACAGAGCTGGTGGGAAGGCCTCCCCTGCTTCCTAGCTGGGGGCGGGTTACCTCTCAGCCTCAGCTCCTTCTGGGTGAAGGCACCGCCCCCTGCGAGGTTGCCCTCAGCGTTAGATGGCCAGCACACAGAAAGGGTGCTCACTGTGTTCCCGGGAGTCTCCCTCCCCAATCTGGGCTCCAGCAATCTGCTCCGCTCCCCTAGATCTGACGGTCTCGTCATTGTCTGTGGGAGAAGAATCTGAGTTCAGGACCGACTCCTCTGCAGCTGCTCCAGGCCCCACTTGCTTTTCAGGGCCCGCAGGCCGCCGGGAAGCAAGTCTGTGTGTACACAGAGCTGTGTGGCCCTGGCCTTCTCAGCACAGAGGGCTGCAGGGGGGCCCAGCGTTCACAAGTGGAAGCCAGAAGTGGGCACCCCTGACCCCTCAGGGTGGACCACTCCCCCCACTCCTCCCCAGCCCCCTCCTCCTAGCTGGAGTTGCAGGCCATACCAGGGGCCCACGCCTTGGGCGGGCACACAGGGCGGCCATTGTCTGTGCAGTGCCTGGCACCCTCTCGTTTGCATAGCCACGTGAAGAATGTGAGGGAGCAGGCTGCCGACAGACCCCTGCAAAGGGGAGCCAGGCTGCGGGGGAGGAAGCAGGCTGGGGTCGCAGCAGCAGGACCCCGCTTTCCCCCAGTGCCGTCCAGGACAGGCGGGTGGGCCTCTGGGGATGGCGGGGATGGCTGGGGGGCTGGCGGGAGTGGGAGCAGGGTTGTGACATTCCCCCTGCACCCACGCCAGGCAGAGCCCATGGGGCCAAACTGAACGTGAGGAGATTGCTAATGAGGTCGAGGAGAGTTAAACATTCCCCTGCTCCAGAGGGCTGAGCTGGGATGGGGGTTGGTGCTGGAAGGGCAGCCTGAACCCCAGGAATGCACAGAAGCCGCAGCTCCCCCGCCAGGCTGTTCTGGAGCTGGGGGCCGGGGCCCGGTGCCTCAGGCCCCAGCAGGAGCTGCTAAACCAGCCAGCAAGGGGATTAACGGGGCTGAGCAGTCTGCCTTCCTTCGGGCTGCTGCCAGAAGGTCGGTGCTGTCTCCCACCTCCCTGCCAGGCTCCTTGCTGGCTGGCCGCCAGCTCTGTCCAGCCTTGATGGGGTCCCTCTTCTGCCCCAATCAGATCTCAAACAGACCCCACTGTGCATATTTCCCTGGTCTGGCTTCCTCTGTTTTTGCTATACACGGCCTCCGGGGTACCCAGGAACCCCTGTCCCCAACAGCCCCTCCCCAGCCCAGTCTCTTTATATCTGGCCTCAGACCCCTAGCCAAAAAGTTCTGCCTGGTGTCCAACTCTAGTATTACCTGCTGCAAACTGGAACTCAATTTCTTTTGCGTCCTACAGTCAGAGGACAGAAAACCCGAAGGGTCATATCAGCCAAGTAAGGGCAAAGTCCATCATCTCAGGCCTGGGGCTTGGGGTAGGAAGCAGGAGAATTTTAGGGCACTTTCATCAGGTTTCTAAAGGGGTTTCCCTGGGCCTAAAGGCCCTGAGGGCAGGCAGGGTCACTCCTCCCAGCCCCTCCCTTCTCTATCCCTGGAGCTGGGCAGGCGCAGGGTACCCACCTGGGCCGTGGCCCCGCCCCCCACCCCCAGGGGGCTGGGCATGAGCTTTGCTGGGGACCCTGCCCTGGCTTAGGCAGCCAGCACTGTGGGCGGGCCCTGGCCTTTCCAGCCCCTGGGCCTCCCCCTGCATTCTAGAGCCGGAGCCGCTGCCTTCGCCGCTGCCGCTGCTGCGCCACCGCCACCTCTCCTTCTCAGCCTCTGACCGCCCACTGCACCCCCACCCCCAGGCCAGCTGCTCCTCTCACCTGGCCATGACCCCAGCCCCCCAGGGCCCCTGACCCAGCCCTGAGCCCTGGGACCCCCGGCCCCCTCCCCTGGGCCATGGCCAACTCGGGCCTCCAGCTCCTGGGCTACTTCCTGGCCCTGGGGGGCTGGGTGGGCATCATCGCCAGCACAGCCCTCCCGCAGTGGAAGCAGTCCTCCTACGCGGGCGACGCCATCATCACGGCCGTGGGCCTCTACGAAGGGCTCTGGATGTCCTGTGCCTCCCAGAGCACCGGTCAGGTGCAGTGCAAGCTCTACGACTCCCTGCTCGCCCTGGAAGGTAGGCCTCGTGCCAGCCGGGCCGGGGGCGGGACGTGGGGGAGGGGGCGGTCCGGAGCCAGCCTTCCTGCGGTCGTCGCCATCTGCCCTGGGCTCCACACGACAGCCCCCTGCCCCCTGTGCATTTTTGAAAATCCAGGCCAGCCTGGTGCCCAGCGGGGGCAAGGGCTCTAGGTCCTGGCAGCCGTGGGTCCAGATCTCAGCTCTGCCGCTGTAACCTTGAAGGAGCCACTACCCCTGTCTGTGTTCTGATGTCCTGGTCTGTAAAGGGGCACGATGACTCTATGGGACTGTGGGAGGCCCAGATGCATGCCTGGAGCTCAAAAAGGCTCAGGCAAGATCCCTCCCTCTGCTTGCCCCGTACCCTGTATGCCCAGATGCTGTGCGCATGCAGCGATGTGCCCATCCTGCTGCCTAGGCAAGTATGCCCACACTCAGTGCACCTCCAAACATACACACACACACTCATGTGCACGCACAAGTGCTCAAGCAGGCAGGCTCCTCTCCCTCTCCTCCTGGGGTGTGGAGTTGAACCTGACAAGTTGGCTGGTAAGCAGGCCCCACTGCAGCTCTCTCCCTGGCTCGGAGCTGACCCACAGGCCTGAGGCGGGCTGTTGCCGCACAGCCCCCACAGCGCCAGTCCAAGCAGGTCATCTGGCCTCTCTCAGGGACTCAGGAACCCACAGAGCATCAGGCATATGGCTGCTGAGGGTGACTCAAAGGGCAGAGGGGAAGGCAACCAGAGTCCAGAATGACCCTTGGGGAGGTGTCCCTGCCCGAGGGCCAACCTGGGCTGAGCTGGGCCTCAGACACTTTCAACTCCTCCTTCTGCTGAATCTGAAAGGCCACCCCCAGTGCTTGGAGGGGGGCAGCCCAAAAGGGAGTCCCCCGTCTGTCCTTGTTCTCCGCCCCCCAACCTTCCCAGGCCAGAAAGCAGCAGATGAGAGAACTCAAACTACCTGTCACCGTCACCGCACACCACCCGCAAGAGCCAGCAAGGGGGAGTGAACAGTGGGGTTAAGCGAGAAGCTCAGCCCACACCCTGTCCTCACACCTTGTTGTCACTTGTGTCCTCACTATCCCCTCACATCTGCAGCCCAGGAGGAGCCTCCAGCTCCAGCCCCTCCCATCTGGGCTCCTCCCACCAACTACTTCTCCCACCACTGGCTCAGTACCCCCCACCTCGCCCAGGTCACATCCAGTCAGCGCGAGCCCTGATGGTGGTGGCCGTGCTCCTGGGCTTCGTCGGCATGGTCCTTAGCGTCATCGGCATGAAGTGCACCCGGGTCGGAGACAGCAACCCCATCGCCAAGGGCCGCATTGCCATCTCCGGGGGAGCCCTCTTCCTCCTGGCAGGTGAGTGCCCCTGGCTCCTTCTCCACCATCTTGGCCATGGCAGGTGGCCCCACCCTGAGTGGCCAGAGCAGGGCTGAGCATCCTCTCCTTGGTCCTTAGGCCTCTGCACTTTAACGGCCGTCTCGTGGTATGCCACCCTGGTGACCCAGGAGTTCTTCAACCCAAGCACACCTGTCAATGCCAGGTGAGTGCCAGGGCATGGCTTGCGAGGGGACGGGCAGGGCCTCCCAATCCACCTCCTCTGGGGCCACTGGCCTTTGTCCAGAGGGGCAGTTGGAGGGTGAAATAAGGGACAGGGCCCAGGTGCTGTCACGGAGCGGCCCTCTGGAGGGGGAGCCAGGCAAGGTGTGGCCAGGCCCTCCAAAGGGGCAGGAGGCCTGTGGAGGACACCCCAGGAGCAGCGGGCACCTGCAGAGAGCTAAGCACCCTGGCTCTGGGTTTAAGTCCCGGCTCTGCCAGTGCTGGCTGAGTGATGGGCAAGTTCCTCCATCTTTCTGCACCTGGGTTCCCCCCCGTAACATGGAGTCAGGACCCGAGGAACCAGCTCACGTGTGATCCTGACGGTTCAGTGGGATGGTGCAGCTCAGGGATTTGGCACGGTGCCTGTGCCCTGGAGACCGCTCAGCAAACCCGAGCTGTTATCCTGCAGGAGGAGCAGTTACTTTGGGTGGGGCATTGGGGGGATGAGGATGGAGAAGTGATAACAGCAGATCAGATGGTGGCGGGCCTTGTGGCACAAGAAGGTTTTGTTCCCCATCCTGGGGGGGAAGGCAGCAGACAATCCCTCCGCTGTGATGTGCAGAGTGGCGGGGAGGGGGCAGGATCAGTAAGGCGCTGTTGCAGAGGTCTGAGCAGAGGGCCTGGGGCAGGGGGACCAGCCGTGGAGAGTAGCTTCAGAGAGATTGAAGAGCTTGAATGGTCAGGACTTGTAAGGCCGAGGGTGTGGGGGTTGAATAGGGGGCTCTCTGGAACTCCTGAGCCCATCCTGGCTCCTCCCTCACCTCTCAGCTCTGCCCAGAGCAGAGAATGGGACAGTCTCAAGCCCAGACATCCCGACAGACCTTGAGACCTGGGGTGGAGAGAGGATGAGAAAAGATGCCTGGGCTGTCACAGTTGGGAGGGCTCCCTGGAGGAGGCAGAGGTGTGGAGTGGGGAGGAAAAGGAGACCTCAGGCATGAGGCTCATTCCCTGGAGCTGGCAGCTCTAGCTATGCAGACCTGCCAAGCGAGAGGTGGCTCAGCACAGAGATGGCAGGCCGGCACACGTCCCTTCTGGGCTCCCCAAAGCTGCCTGGGTTGCAGGCTCTGTGCTGGCGCCTGGGGACATGGATGAATCTGGTGCTGTCTGCCCTCAGGCACTCCCCAGGGAGCCGAACAAGTAAGGGACTGAAGGGCCACCCAGTAAGTGAGAGCAAGGTGGGCCACACAGAGGGCACAGGGAAAGCCCCCACGAGGAGGTGGCATCTGATCTGGGCCCTGAAGGCAACGGAGCACAGGAGGCGCAGAAGGGGGCGTTTCTAGGAGGGCATGCCTCATGCAAAGGCACAGAGGTGGGGAGGCCTGGGGCACTGCAAAAGGTGCTGGGCTGCCCAGTGGGGCCTGTAAGTGGAGAGCCCAGGGAGGCAGCCAGAGCCCCGGCTGGGAGTTCTGTGGGCCAGACGGTGACTGAGAGAAAGAGATGGCGGGACTGCCCTGCTCCTCCTCCACAAGACCTGGTGGATACTCCCTCTACTGGCAGGAACAGGCCCACCTTGGGCCTGGGTCACCCTGCGTGGTGTTGATACACTGGGGTGGGGACAGGAGGAAGGATGGGCATTCACCCCAACTTATCCAGAGAGACTGAGGAGGCTGGGGAGGCCCCCATCCTAGCACCCCACCCCCTGCCCGTCCCCTGCCGGGCCGAGGTTCTGGAGCCCCTGGGGAGGGCTGAAGCGCGGCCTGGTGGCAGCCACACCTGATGGCGTCCTCCCAACCCCTTGCAGGTATGAGTTTGGCCCAGCCCTGTTTGTGGGCTGGGCCTCTGCCGGCCTGGCCATGCTGGGGGGCTCCTTCCTCTGCTGCACGTGCCCGGAGCCCGAGAGATCCAACAACAGCCCGCAGCCCTACCGGCCCGGCCCCTCAGCTGCGGCCCGAGAGTACGTCTGAGCCCCTGCCCGTGCCCAGCGGCCTCCCACCCAGCACTCCACCAGCCCTGCAGCACCCTGGGCAGGGCCAGTAGGGCACAGAGTGTCTCCCAAGCTCTGTCTAGGGCTCTGAGCAGCTTGTCCCCAACACAGGCACCCACCCTGCACTCTGAGACCCAGACCCAGACACTCAGAGAGAGGCCGGATGCAGGAGCCCGCCCACAGGGGCAGGACAATTCCAGGTACAGGCGCGGGCCTGTCCACACACCAGCCCGGGTGCCGGCCCTCTCCCCAGCCGCCTAGTCACTCACCAGGGGGCTCCAGGAGTGTCTACTCTGTGCTGGGCCCTGGGGACGCAGCAGGAAAGATGGACTGTGGTGCCCAGTGCCCTGGGGAGGCCAGAGCCCTCCATCCCCCACCCCACCCCGGGCCCACGGGCTCCCACAGCAACCCCATAAAGGAGGCAGTGCCAGGATGAGGAATGTCCCTATGTTATAGAAAGGAAACAGGTTCAGAGAGACCAAGAGGCTTGGCCCCGTTTTCTCTGAGTCCAGCTCTCGGGCTCTTCCAGTATGCCCAGCGCTGTGTGGACACCCACACAGATGGCTGGGCCAGACCATGTCACCCCTGCCCCCAGGAACAGGCCCCAGGCAGGGCTGCTGTGAGGGCCCAGGTCTGACCATGCTGGCCAGTCCCTGTGTCTGGGCCTGAACCCCACAGCCCTTGCCTCCCCACACTGTGGCTCCCTCAACTAACCAGCTCTCTCTCTTTTGACTTTCAGACCAGTTGTTAAATTGTCTGCCTCCGTCAAGGGCCCCCTGGGTGTGTAATGTCCAGGTCCCCAGCCTGGCTCTGTCCCCCTGCTCACCTAGACTATGTGTTTGGTATTTTTTCAAAAGAGAAGCGAACATCCAGCCCCAAGTGTGGTGTCATTTGGTCTGTCCCCGGCATGGCTAGATTGGGGGCTGGCTCAGAGAGGTCAGCGCTGGTCCCTGGGGTCCTTGGGCATAAAGCTGGGGTGACAGAGGTCCAGGGTGGGATACACAGAATACCCAAGGCTGATCAGGAAAGAATTCAGGGCCCCTGCCCCCCTGCCCAGCCTGACTTTGGGCCTGACACCAGGCTCTCCTTGAAGGGAGACCCACCTGAGGACTGGCCCTGTCTGAACAGAGACACAGCCCGCCCCTGTTACTCTGCCTCCCTGGGAGGCCCTGCAGCCAGGTGCTGGGGATCAGAGCCAGCGTGAGGGGACACTGGAGGAGCTCGCCAAGTGGAGAGAGACTAGGGGAAGGATGTTAGGGCCTTTCAGGCTTTGGGATTATCCTGAGCAAGGTTGGAAGCCCCCAGCTCTGCTCCCACAGCAATGCTGCCCCTTTCTCCCACCCCCCTTCCTGCTGTCCAGTCTGCTGAGGTCCTGCTGCATCCCTGCCCTGGAACCAAAGGAGGGAGGGGGTGGCCTGAGGCTGCCTGAGACTGTGGCTGGAGCTCCATCCTCACCCAGGGGTGCAGTCAGAGCTGCAAGGGCTTTTGGTCCTGAAGTACGGGTACCACCCCCTTAGTTTAGAAGCTGGAGATGCCCTCAGAGGAATGTAGGGAACTTAACCGGATCAGCCCTGCCCCTCATGCTCAGGCCTCTCCCACCCCACCTCTCCTCCCTGGACCCTGAGTCTCTCTCTGGCCACTGCCCCCTCTCGCTTCCATCTGGAAAGAGCTATTTATAACCACCCCTTGACTTCCCCATGGCCGCCTCAGCCAGCTCTGTTCTGGCTTCCTCCACCACCTGTCTTGTGATCACATCTCCCACCAAGTCACCAAATCCCAAGGACACAGCTCAACCTTCTCCCTGGAGCTCGACTCTGAGAGGTGAAGTAAGGCAAGATGACTGTCGCCCACGCTCCAACCAAGGGTGGGGACGGGAGGAGAGAAGCGATCGGTGGAGCTGCTGTGGGATTGTCCGCACAGTGACCTGGGCCTGCCAGCTGCAGCACATCCACGGGGGCACCTCAGGAGCAGCCACTTCATGCAGCCCATCCAGCCTCTGGCCAGAGGAGGTGGGCACCTGACCCTAAATGGGTTCACCAGAGTCCTGCCCCTCAAATGATGAATGAGAACTACAAAAGAGTCGCTCGGGGTGCCCGAGCTATAACGCAGCGGTTCTCAGCCCTGGGTGGGCGTCTGAGTCACTTGGAGAGCTGAGGCCCAGCCTCCCTCCCTGGACATCCCGGCTTAATTGGCTCGGGGTAGACCTGGGTATCTGGGTCCAGGCAGCCCCCAAGGGCAGCGAGGTGTGGTCAGCACTGAGGGCACTTCTGTGGGGCCTAAAGCTCAGGGCTGTGAGGGTCTCAGGGGGGAAAGGCGTCTCCAAGAAGAGGCGAGGAGAGGAAAGGCCTGTCTCCTTGTGCCCTTCCTGAAACCAGGCTGTTCTGAGAGATTCCCACATCCTCCCAATAAACAGATCCCATGCCGCTGAAGCAATTCTGAGTTTGATTTCTGTCGCACGCAGCCAGAAGAGCCATGACTGACACCGAATTTGGAACCTGGGAACTGAGTGTCGCGGTGAGGGTTCCTGGCACGGGTGCCACTGAGCAGGGTGGGATGTGGGGCCCAGAGGCTCCCTGTCCCAGGCTGGGGACTTGGCAATGCTCTCTCTGGTCATGAGGCAGTTGGCCTGGAAACCGCGTGTTGTCTCTTGAGGCTCAGGGTCCTCCAGAGGTTTGGGTCTTGGTGGGAAGATGTTGGGGTAGAACGTGCCGGTGGCTTCTTGGTTTCAGGGACAGGCTGCGGGAGAGGCGAGCTCCATGCCAGCGGGCGGGCCTGACGGCAGGGCGGGAACAAGCTTCAGTCTGATCCTTGTGAAGGGAAGCAGGGATGGCCGGGGAGTCGAGAGGGCAGTCAGATAAGCACATAGAACCCGATGAAGACACTGGTAAATGACGCAGCGGGATCCTGGCAATGGGAAGGAGATGTCTGGGAGAAGTTAGAGGAGTTTGCAAAGCCTGGTCCCCCAGGCCTCTCCTGAAGCAACCTCTCTCCAGTATCCACATCAAGTTTGCCTGGACTGCCAGCCGGTGGCAGAGCCAACTTTCCTGGCCTCCTGACTGGGCTCCTGTTTACTGTCCCAGCCCCAAGGCTAAAGGATTGGGAGGAGACCCAGGAAGTGGGGCTCAGACTCAAAGGGCATGATCCTAAAGCTTTTGCTATTATTAGCAGAGCTCTCAGACTGAAATTGGCAGGGCATGGAACACGGTTTTAGGAGGAATATCCCTGTGTGCTCAACCCCTAAGGAAAGCCGCAGACCCAGGGAACATGGCCAGAGAAGGTGTTCAGCGAAAGGGAGGGACCCGGGCACTGGCGTAGCTGACCAGGACTCACCTGCTGCCTGGGAAGAGGCTGGAAAACCACGCGTCTGAGAACAGGGATATGGATGCATGTCAGACGATGGCAATGAGTTAGTGTTAATTTTGTGTTGTATGCATTGCTAATTGCGTGTGGTAATGACACTGGTCTTTTCTTTTTTTAATCCTCGTCTGGTAGAGGAGCACAGTGAAATGATATAATGGCTGGATTTGCTTTAAAATACTCCAGCAACACAGAGGTCAAGGGCAGAGGAAGTTATAAGACTGATAAATGCCAGTGGTACTTCGGGGTCACTCTACTCTGTTTGTGTGTATGTTTGCAAATGAAAAAAAAAGGGCTAAAAATCCATCTAAGCTTTGACGGTTGTATCATTTAATATACCCCCGCCGACCACAGGAGTGAGGGTGATGAACATTCGAGAGACTCTTGCTGCTCCAAGCACCATCCTCCTACGGCGGCATCCCATCACTGGAAACTTGTTAGAAACAGAGTCTCAGGCCCCCAGGCCGAGTGACATGAGGAGGTGTTTCCCCGGGCAATTGGCGCGCAGACTGAGGGTGGAGGCGCCCTGGTGTCGGCTGTTGGAGGCCGTGTGGTGCTTCTCTTCTAGATGAGAATTTCACTTACCTCGGTGTCCTCCATCATTTGAATATTAGGTATTTTGAGAGTGGGTCAATTTATGATTTCATCCAGAGCTGGCAAGTCTACGGGGAGGCACAGGCAAACCTGATCGAGGCGAAACTGGAAATGAAGAACGGACAACACCCAAAGCTGTGCTTCCCAACTTTCTCTCCTCAGAGAGCACAGAAAAAGAGTATTTGATTCAGTTTATGAGAATACTGCAGGCAGTTTTATTCTGGACAACCCTCCTGTTGAAAACACTGACGGTGTTAGGAAAAGTGTAAAACACTCTTCAAAGCATCGCGGCGCTGACGCTGTGCTGTGGAATCACCACGTCAGACCTGAGAAGCTGGCCTTCCCCCTCTGGGCCGCATGGTGGCCCACGAGGTCACCACGAAGCTGAGGAGGCCTTGGCTGGCAGGGTTGAGGACTGGTTCCATAGAAGGAGATTGAACAAATAAGTGAATATACCAGAGATAATGGGAGTCAGGCTTCTCACTGCCAGAGAACAGATTGACAAAGATGGACAGGGGAAAGATTAGGATAAATCCTGTGGTGTTGGATTGGAGTTGGTGGTATCTGGATGAACACATGGCTTTTAATATATGTAGATAAATATTGAAATAGATGTTGTGTGTGTGTGTACATGTGTGATATATGTACATACGTATATCTATGAGCTCTATGTCCTAGAGAGGCCTTGAAGCAATGACACCCGAGTAGCAAGTCCTTATCTTGATTTCTGAGTACCATTTTCCACTAGAAGCTACCAGGGCTCCATGGAGAAATGGCTGATTTGATGGCTGTGGTAAGGAAAGTACAAAATAAGCTCGGAGCACCTTCATGTTCCAGAAAGTAAGAAAGTGCTCAAGGAATGATGGAGACATGTCTAAAGGATACAGAAGCCAGAATAAAGGGGTGCCCACTGGCATTATCTGGGACAATTTGGGCATCAAAATAAATAATGATAGTAATGGATTTTAACTCAGTGAATAAAAGTAAGAATCCATTAGTCCATACCGATATGAATAATCAAATAAATGAGTAGGGAAGAAGAAAAAGCTCTACTTTACAGTAAAATGCCAGCTAATATGAATAATTTATTAACTGATAAGCACAAAACACTTAAATTTACAGTGGTGAAACATAGCACCCGTATCTTAATCAAGTGATAAGAGTGAACACCTCCAGTAAAGGGACAAGTCAGAATTGTGCATCCCTTGATATCATGCACTGAGAAGAACACAGCATCGTTTATATGATATTCTTGCTGAAGGTGCAGAAATTGAATCACTGATGACGATAGAAAAATCCAAATTGAGGTTATTCTACAAAATAACTGCCTGTACTCTTCAAAAGCATCCAAGTTATGAAAGTCAAGCAAAGACTGAGGAGCTGTCCCAGATTGAGGAGGTTGAAGAGATATTATAACTAAACGCAACGATCGATCCTGGATTGTATTCTGGTCCTATAAATGACATTCTTGGGACAACTAGTGAAATTTGAACAGTGTTTGTGGTTGAGATGACAGTACTATATCAGGGTTAATTTCCTGAGCTTGATAGTTTCAGATAGTGGTTTTATGGGTTTGTGGGACAGTGTCCTTGCATTTTAGGAAATACACACTGGGGGCCGGCCCCGTGGCTGAGTGGTTAAGTTCACGTGTTCTTCTTCGGTGGCCCGGGGTTTCACTGGTTCTGATCCTGGGCGCGGACATGGCACTGCTCATCAGGCAACATTGAGGCGGCGTCCCACATGCCACAACTAGAAGGACCCACAAACTAAAATATACAACTACGTGCCAGGGGGATTTGGGGAGAAAAAGCAGAAAAGAAAAAAAAATACACACTGAAGTACTAAAAGGATGATGAGCCATCAGAAAAAAATACACACAGATACACACGAAGAAAGAGTTACAAGGCAAATATTTGTAGTAGAATATCAATTGGGCAATCTAAGGGAAAGGCATGCAGGAGTTCTCGGAACTGTTCTTGCAACTTTTCTCTAAAGTTTGAAATTATTTCAAGATTGAAACGTCTAAGGGAAAGTTGGAATACTGAGAAGCTGCTCTTCCCAGAGGGCACTTAAAAGTCCAGCAAACGTAGACACCTCCCAAGATGGCAGTGGAAAGGAAAGCTTTGGGCTCGCCCATGGTGAAAACAAAAAATCTTTATTTCACCCTTTTTTTTTTTTGGTGAGGAAGATTCGCCCTGAGCTAACATCTGTTGCTAATCTTCTTCCATTTTGTATGTGAGCCGCTGCCACAGCATGGCCACCAACAAGTGGTGTATGTCTGTGCCTGGGAACCGAACCCGGGCTGCTGAAGCGGAACGTGCCAACCTTAACCACTAGGCCACAGGGCTGGACCCCACCTTCATTTTTGAAAGGTGTTTTCGCTGAGTGTAGAATTCTGGGTTAACTCCTCACTCCTTTAGTATTTATAGGTGTCATCCTAGTGTCTTCTACCTTATATAGTTTTTAAAGGAAAAGTCTGCTATAATTCTTATTTTTGTTCCTCTGTTTTTCTTTCTGGCTGCTTTCCAGATTTTCTGCGTCTTTGGTTTTCAGAAGTTTGACTATGAAGTGCCTGGGCATGTTTTTTCTTTTCTTTTCTTTTCTTTTTTGCTTTTTCTCCCCAAATCCCCCCAGTACATAGTTGTATATTTTTTAAGTCGTGGGTCCTTCTAATTGTGGCATGTGGGACGCCACCTCAGCATGGCCTGATGAGCGGTGCTGTGTCCGTGCACAGGATCCGAACCAGCAATATCCTAGGCCACGGAAGCAGAGCGCATGAACTTAACCACTCGGCCATGGGGCTGGCCCCAGGGTATGTTTTTCCTTCGTGTTCATTCTGCTTGAAGTTTTCTGGATCTGCAATTTGTTATCTTTCATTGATTTTGGAAAATTTTCAGCCATTACTTTTTCAAATATTTTTTCCGCCTCATTTTCCCTGTCTTCCTCTGCTATGTCAATGGCGTGCTTGATATTGTATCACAGCTCTTAAATATTCTGTTTTATTTTCTCCCATGTCTTTCTCTGTGTTTCAGATTGGATAATTTCTACTGACCTATTATCTGGTTCATGAATTCTTTTTTTTTTTTTTAAGATTTTATTTTTCCTTTTTCTCCCCAAAGCCCCTCGGCACCTGGTTGTGTAGTTTTAGTTGTGGGTCCTTCTAGTTGTGGCATGTGGGATGCCGCCTCAGCATGGCTTGATGAGTGGTGCCATGTCTGTGCCCAGGATCTGAAACGGTGAAACCATGGGCCACCAAAGGAAGTACGTGAACTTAATCCCTTGGCCACGGGGATGGGCCCCCATGAATTCTTTCCTCTGCTCTGTCGTCATTTGGGAGGCACATCTAGGCAATTCCTCGTTGCTGATGATGGCAGGCTGCTGCCGCCTTCTGCTTAGTTTGAGACCTGGAATCCAAAGTTCTTAGGGTTCCTGAGTCTCAACTTCAACGCTCCCTGCAGGCGTGCCCCCCAGAGGGACT